AGTGTCAGGATTATATCTAAATATTAATGCATGTGAATTATTCTCTCTTACAGAAGACATAGGTACCTTTTCTGTAGTGTCAGGATTATATCTAAATATTAATACAAGTGAATTATTCTCTCTTACAGAAGACATAGGTACATTTTCTGTAGTGTCAGGATTATATCTAAATATTAATACATGTGAATTATTCTCTCTTAAGGACTCAGAGTTAAATGTTGTTGCCAATATACCTGTAAAAAAGGTGGTGATTTAGGGATTATAATTTCTAAAGATCAGGAAGAAAGATATAGATTAAATTTTGAGCCTATTTTAGACAAAACAAAGAAGCAATTTCAGTCTTGGTTAATGAGAGATTTGTCTCTGATAGGTCGGGTTTTATCCTCAAAAGCAGATGGCCTTTCTCGCTTTGTATATGCTTCTCTCTCATTGGATGTCCCCAAGTATATTATTAATGATTTTGATAAAGTACATTATAACTTCATTTGGAAAAACAAACCTCATTATATAAGAAAGTATCTTCAAACTCAACCTAGGAATTACGGTGGATTGAATGTCTTAGATTTTTATACTGCTAATATTATCTTTAAAAGCAATTGGATTAGAAATTATACTATAAACAAAAATAGTATATGGAATTTGATTCCCAAGTTGGCTTTCAATATAAAGGTGATCTTGAATTTTTGTTAAAATTTAATTTTGATATTAATAAAATTCCTCTTAAATTATCTAACTTTCATAAACAAGTTTTATGATGTTGGAATTTCATATATAAGCATAATGTTTCACCACATACATATTATAGTTGGAATAATAATAAAAATAAAAGCATATTTTTTCTGATTATGATAACAAAGTCTGGCTAGTGGCCCACTTGTTAAATGAAGAGGGCAGATTGTTTACATGTATAGAAGTTTGGGAAAAATTGAAGATTCCTATCACTCCCTGTGAATATGCCATAGTCTTTGATGCTATTCCTGAGAAAGTGGTGAGGCTGTTGAGATGTAGTCTTGTCCTTGCCAATAGAGTATCTTCGGATTTCTAGATAGAAAAATGCAATAATAATTATATTAGGGACCTGTGCAATTCATTCAACTTGTGCATTTCCTTTTGGAATACTATGTTTAAGAATATACATTGGAAGTTAGTTTGGACAATTGCTGATAGATACTGTCTTACAAATAAAGTTAAAATAAATTTCATTTAAGATCGTTCACAGATTTTATCCTGTTAAATTGACACGTTCCAGACTTAAACATGAGCAAGATGACTTACGTGTATTTTGTAAGAATGAGAAGGAATTTTTGTTACATTTGTTTTTTAATTGTATACAGTATATACAAAGCTGTTTTGGATA